TTCCGTAGTGATACTGCCTCGGAAACCCAAGGAGGGGTCGCTATGAGTCGGGGCCGACTCGACGGCAAACAACAACAACAACAACAACATTGTATTTGGGACTAATCAAATTTGGATTTAAGATATGCCAGTTGCTACCTAAAAAATGAAAGTAACTAAGCAGCCTCTCAAATTTCAAAATCATTCTACATAAGTAGTAAAAACTCTGTGCCATTCCAAAAGTAAAAAGAACATGAGGTGAAGAGGGAAAGCACACAAACGTGTAAGAATGCTGACCGACACCTTCCCGAGGCCAGGCGGGCGCGGCTGTACCTTGGAGCTGCTGCTTGCACTGGGCGGGCTGGAGGCTGGCGCACAGCTTCTCCAGGCCCCCGCTCTCTGCCCGCTGCATGAGGTAGAGGAGCTTCCACAGCATCTGCACCGACAGCGTCCCGAAGGGCATTTCAGACATGAACAGCCAAATGCCAAGTCTGCGCGTTTTAAAAAGAACAGGAATAATTTCACATCTTAGTCGCTTAACACACTGAGAAAGCAGGCAAACTTTCAGCTCTGACAAAAAAAAAATCTGAAATCACACTACAGTAATTTTTCTAACACATTTCTGTATAGATAATGATATAGGATTAAAAAAAAAAACCTGTCTATCCATCTGTTTGTCTGTCTAAAGTGATTAGTACAGTCCGTGGTACAGAGAAAGTACCTCAGTATTCACTGGTACTATTATCTATACTATACTATACTATAGAGACTATACTACACCATGCTACAGATAACAGTACCAGTGAGTATTAAGGTATTTACTCTGTACCAGGGACTGTTCTAATGACTTTACACAGACAGATAGATAGATAGATGGATAGACAGATCAACTCAATTCACTCTCACTAAAACCCTGAAGCACATACTATTACTGATATCATCCTCAATTTACATCTGAAGCTACTAAGGCACAGAGGGTAATAAGAGGCAGAGCCGGGTTTTGAACCAAAGATTCTTTTAAGACCTGGAGACAGAGAGGTTGCTATTCAGGTGTGGATATGTGAACAACTATATAGGCACACGTGTGCTCACACAGACACATGTGCAGCACATGGCAGGGAATTAAAAACCCTGCAGTGACTCCTCACTGACCACAGAATGAAGGTGAAACTCCTCAGTCAGCGTCCCAAGACTTCCACAACAGAGCTCTTCTCCATACTGCCAACCACAGCCCTTTCTGCATTCACAATATGACACCATTCCAACAAGCCAGGACAGAACTCCCTGCCTCCAAGCTGACGTCCCTGCATTTATGAGGTATTCCTCAGCACTTCACCTACACCTGACTTTGGCAGTATCGTGCCTTTTACCAGTGTTTCACCCCTTGCTGTGCTGCTGAATCTGTTCCAACTCAGAGAGACTCTATGTACAACAAAATGAAGCACTGCCTGGTCCTGTGTCAGCCTCACAATATTGCCAGGTTTAAGCCCACTGCTGCAGCCAGGGTCGATCCAGCTCATTGAGAGTCTTCCTCTTTTTCATTGACCCTCTACCAAGTAGGATGTCCTTCTCCAGAGACTAGTCCCTCACATGTTCAAAACATGTGGGACAAAGTCTTGCAATCCTTGCTTCTACGGAGCCTTCTGGCTGTACTTCTTCCAGGACAGACTGTTCATTCTTCTGGCAGTCCACAGTGTATTCTTCACAAACACCATCATTCAAAGGCTCTGGTCCTCCTGGCTCATTGTCCAGCTTTCACATACATATGAAACTATTAAAAATACCGTGGCTTGGGTCAGGCGAATCTTTTTTTTTTTTTTTTTTTATTAGGATTTGGGTGAAGATTTACAGAGTAAATTCACTTTTCATACAGCAGTTCACATATACTTTGTCTCATGTCATTGACCAAAA